CAAGGTAGGGAATTCAGGGGACTTCCCAAGCACACAGAAAAATACAACTTTGTAAATTGTAAACAAACAAATCCCTCAGACTGGCATGATGGGCACTGAATATGCTCCAGGAGGTATGTAATGTTGAGAGCAGAGGAGTGTCAGTTGAAGGAAAAGAAGGGACTATGGAAATTAGTCTGCTCAAGGCCCTGATAGCTTATAGAATCCAGGAGGTGGGATTTCCAAATTGTTCCCCCTCCCCCTGGGATTCTTTACTGGGCCCCAGCTTGTAGTGGGTGGCTCTTGCCAATCACAAAAGCAGTAAAACCAAGCCACCCACACTCAAGGTAGGGTTTGTACATACTTGACTCCCCAGGTATGCAGAAAATATGACTTCATAAAGTAGTCAAAGGAAAGGAAAAACCCACACAATGGTCTGGTGAACACAGCATACGCTCCACAAGGCACAAAATATAGAGAGCAGTTGAGACAAAGGGGAAAAGCATAGGGAGATGGGGAAATTGGCCTGCTGAAGGCTTCAGAGAGGACAGTTTGGGTTGGGGGAAATTTCCCAATTGCTTATCCCATCCCGCCAGTTCCTCATGGGCTTCCAAGCTTGTCACTGTATCTAATAGTAAAGTGGGTAGCTCTTGCCATTCATGACAGCAGAGAAACAAGGCCACCCACAGACAAGTTTTTACACAGGTTTTTTCACAGACTGGGGATTTTTGAGGGATGCAGGAAAATGTGAAAAAGTCTTAAGTTATTCAAAAGACAAAAGGGAAAAAATACTCCTAAATGGCCTGATTAGGACTGGGCATTCTCTAGGAGAGACATAATGCTGGGAGCAGCTGAGAGTCAGCTAAATAAGGAAATGATGAGGCAACTGACTTGTTTAAGCCCCTGACCATGTGTGTGTGAGAGAGAATTTCCAAATAATTCATCCCACCATTTGTGATTCCTTCTCACAGGCCTCCAGCTTGTAACTAATCATCTCAGACTTTATAGTCAAGTGCCTGTTGTCACAAAGGCATAGAAATGAGCACACATGCAATCAACAGCTGGGTTTTTGTATACTTAAGAAACTACCTTGCAAATAAAAAATGCTTCAATTAACACGCACCATGGTCTGACAAGGACTGAATATGCTCGACTCCCTTGGAACAATGAGAGCAGCTGAATCATTGGGGTTTGGGGGACAGTAGGGAAAATGGCCTGTAAGCTTCTAAGAACTTATAGCATCCTGGACAGGGAGATTTGGGTAGAGAGCAAGTTTTCCAATAATTCCTTCCCATCCCCTCACAATGCAGACCCTCTTCCCAGCTTACGTAACTAGTTAGAAGAGAAGAAGAGGCTTGTTATTTATCAGAACTTATGAAAAAGTCAACCAAGGAGGAAATAATACAGTTATATACAATAAAATGGAGAAAATAAATACAGAAAAGGCACTCAAAACGTAAGCACTGAGGTTAATGAAACAGGTAAGCCTCAGAAATAAGTCCTTCAGCAATGCTTATTTAGAATTCAGAGCTGCAGATGCTTATGATAACCAGCTAAAACAACTTTTTAAAAGGTTTAGATAATGAAGGGTACTTATTTTAGTAATTACTCAATATGCTTGCCAGAGCTATTGCTATTACATTCACCAATGACAGATACTGCAGACAAACTGCAGACCAGCAACAGCAGAGGAATATCATCCTGTTTATGAACTTCTGTAGTTGTAAAGATTAGATTGCAGGGTTAAAAGAATCATTGGTCAGACCCATCCTGGCAATCCACACCTCTCATTTGACAATACTTTATTCCAAAGGCTTTAAGGTTTTATGAAGTTTCTCTGAGAGTTACGTCATTGAATAGCATAATTACTGTGAAAGAAATGTCTGAAGAGAAGGCATCACAGATTCTGAGAAACTGTTAGGAGACATTGTAATCATGAATTCAGTTTATAAGTACTTAAAAAATATATTTAAGCATGTACAAAGACTGAAACAGAATATTACAGTGTTAGTTTGGCATTACCAATAGTAGTGCTTCCTTCAAACTAAAGATTATCACTGTCACTAAGATCATACCATCCCATTTCTCTCCAGATGCATCAGATGTCAGACCTCAATCCTAAACATACTTATACATTAGTAAAGTGCGTATTCACCCTTAGTGCGCAAGTTAGGGTGAAATGACATGCATCTTCAGTTACCTGGCACATATATAATTAACCAGCTTTCTTGAGTGAAAGATTTAAAGTGGGTGAGGAACTGCCTGACTTTTTAGAAAGGCTGAAATTCTCTTTGAATGTTTGACGTTTTGTCCCAGACTATTAAGAGCAAACTAAAGTGGCTGTTGTGATATAGGCAGCTGCTCAGTTCTGAAACGTTTTCCTTTATAAGACAAAAGCCTTTCTCCTGGAAAGAAACTGTACTGACCTGAAAGCAGCATATTATGCTAGATAAAGCACTTGACAGTGTTTGGGTCTATGCGTGACAAAAACCCAAACCCTGGAACTTCTTATAAGACTTTGAGTAATCAATACTGGTGCAATCCATAACTTCATGAACTGATCTTGTAGTCTGGGGCATTTTGCATTCATTGGTGGCAGAAAGATATGCGCTGCACATGCTCATAGGCTCTGCAAATGCTCCAGAGATGAGTTGCAGCTCTGAAAACAGATTCTGAGGCTAAGGCCTAATGAACTATCTCAGTTTAAGCTCCAATTTAGACCCATGTTTCTGCTGCTTTCTGAACAGCTGAGAAACAAATCCATTAAACGTCTACAGGCCATTGAACAGATCTGGTTAGTGATCCCAGGCTAGCTCCATGTTTGTCCATTGGATTAGATTCTTACCCACAAACAGGTAGAAAATGTGCCTGGCTCTCTAACAGCTGCAACTGACTCATCTACACTACACATTTAAACCGGTTTCAAACTGGCTTAACTCTCATAGTTCCTGGTCAAGGAACCCTGGCTGGGGCGGGGGGGGGGGGGGAGAACCACAGGGCTAAGAATTCCTAATATATTACACTCTGCCTTCTCACAAAGCCTCCATTCCCACAATTCTTTCAGAGAAACAAAAGGGTCAATGGATCTAGTTTAGATATGGCCGAGTTTTCCTTGTTCCTCTTATGGGGTGAAATGGCTGGCAGCTGGCTATTGGCATTCCCTATAGGGCTAAGCACCACAACAAACATTCTGTTCAGCTGTATAGCTTGGCCTTATGTGATCCATAAGGGAATCAGAACAGAGAAAGGAGGAAAGAAACCCCCTGGAAAGATCTCAGTGCTACATTTAGATTAGCAACCAAGGCTTCTACAACCACCCAGTTTACACAAGTTATGGTCACAGTACACTTAGAAGTCTCCCACACAAGGCCCTTGAAATGAATGGGAGTAGCGCAAGAACACTCCTATTATTTTAGGCGGAATTCACGCAGAAGACTTTCCTGGGGGGTTGTGTGTATGTATGTTAAATTATCCACAGACCTTTTAAAAAAATGCATCTACAACAGAAATCTCACTTTTTCCTTCCTTCCCTTATAATTGGCTTTCCCCTTCCCTGATTATATATATCCGATCCTGCACTGTCTTTCAAACTGCTCCCCCTCTTCAAAGCCTGCCATTAATTCTAAACATTTCTTTAAAAAGTGTCACTATATGATATAATAAATAGGATGGGTGAGAAAAGAGCTGCTGCTAGGACAGCTTTGTGTATATGTTTGCCAGATTCTTCTCTCTCTCTCCTCCCCCCTTTGTCATGCAAATACTATAATTATATTTTTAAAACCAGAAAAGCACTCTTTTGTCAAAGAGAAGCTTTTGCCTTCCCAAACTCTTTTACATTGTAATCTACACACACACACAAATACTCTTTTAAAAAATGCCCAGTATAGCTCGACTGAAAATGTGCCTCGTTGTTGGTTGGGGTGTGTGTGAAGGATTTTTTAGTTATCCTCTTTCTATATCCATCCACAGTTTGCAAGGAAATGGGTGTAAGCAAAGGCTAACTTTTGTTTGATACATTTGGGGTCAGGAGATTGTGTTATGTCTGGTTTGGGGTGTACTCTTGGCTAGGGGGCTCGAGCGATGTCTGGTTTGGGGTGTACTCTTGGCTGGGGGGCTGGAGCGAGACTGGGTTTAAAAATAAAGAGCCACATTCATGCATAGCAATGGCTTTCCTGAGATCAGCTTCCTAGGCAGTATATGTGAAATGATATTTACTTGGACCAGAACCACAGGGGGGGGGGGTTGATGAAGATGAACCATTCCCCCTTCCTTGAAACTTTTCTTTGACGGGCACACTCCGGAGCCAGCCATCAAGAGACAGCCACTGCCCCCACTTCCTGTGACAATGGACCCCCAGATCACCCGTGTTTATCCCAGATCAACCCAAGATTATCCATGTTAAATTTGATTCCCTCTCATCTCCTCAGAAGAGAGGGTAGGGAAGGGAGAGGCCGGAGGGAATCAGAGCCTGGGTGGGGGAGTGTGAGTAAAAAGACCTGCTCCTTTCCTTCCTAGAGCTCTCTCTCCACTGAGAGTTACATCTTGTTTCCATTTTCTAGTACTTTTCTGGAATTTCATGTTATGACTTCAGCCCCAAAGAAATCCCTGCCTACTGGGGCAGGAAACATTGAGAAACCCCCCTTTAACAGATTATGAAAAAACTTCCAAGAAATGAATTGGAGACAGACAAAGGAGAGACACACAGAGCGCACCAGTAATCCCACAGCTCCTCCTTCTCGACAGTGGCGAAAACGCTGGGAAGTTTGGAAATAAAGGTAAAAGCACCTTGCCTGCCAGACCGCTCTCTTTTGACTTGGGGGGGGGGAGGGCTCACACAACGCTCTCCGCCCCTTCTGGCAAAAGTTGCCGCCTGCCAGGCCAAGGGTTTCCCCCTGTAGCAGCCTCCGCCGCCCGCTCCTCCGGCGGGACGCGGGCAGCGCCGAGGCGAACTTCTCTTACCTTCGAAGACTGACTTTGGCCGCGCCAGCCACCTACCCCCTGCTAGCTCGGGAAAAGGATATGGGTTGCACACCATCCGCAGGCACCAGCTCCTGGGGCGGCTGTGCTGGCTCAGGTAGAAGAAGACGGTGGGGGCCAGGGCCGGGTAAGGGAGCCCTTCGCTCTCCGAGTCGCCGCTGCCCGGATCTTTCTCTTTGTCCCCCGGGCCCGAGCGACCTCCGTCTCCGGAGAGATCGTTGAGGCGGACGAAGGTCTTGGAGTGGTCCTCCTCCGGGTCCTGCTCCTCCGCGGCTCTCGGCCCATCCTCGTCCATCCTCCGGCCAGCAGACCCGTGCCCGACCGGGAGACTGAGCGGGGAAGGGGCGCCCGGGGAGAAAAGGGGCTCAGCGAGAGCTGCGATGAGTGTTTAAGGGGCGCTGGCCATGGGCGGCTTGGGGACAGCGCAGGCTGGACTCGGGATTCAGAAGCGGGCAGGGAGCCTCCTCTCCCGCCTGGGCGGCTGCGGAAGTCCCACGGTCCCCATCGGGATCCAGACCGGCGCTTCCCCTCACTTTGCCGCCTTCTTCTTCGTCTCCTCCGAGATCCCGAGCCAGCCGGGGAGCACGGTTGGGAGAAACGGTGGGGAGGTCCCGGATTAGCGAGGAGGAGGGCAGAGTCCGGCACCCAGACAGTCCTCAGAGTCCCTCCGCTCGCCAACTCCAGGGCACATCACCGGGGCAGCGGGGACCGAACCAAGCTGCTGGGGACGCCGGTTCCAGGTCCTGCTGGCTTGGCTTTAGAGGATCCGCGCTCGCCCTCCCAGCTTCATGGTCCTCCTTAAATCGAGGATGGGGAGGGGGGGGGAGCGTTGAGGTTTGGCGGGAGAGATGGGCTCCAGGAGCTCCTCTCGTAGCCTGGGCTCGTCCCGCCCTGCGGAGACCGCTAACCGAAGCCTGGGGGGGCACCCTGGTTTCTTTGGAGGGGGTGGTGAAGGAGAGGGAAAACGCCGGCGATGAAGGAGGATGCTTCTCCTCGCCACCGCTTCTCTCGGACAGGAGAAGCGAGCAAAAAGCGGGGAGATCAGCGCACCTCACAGCTGGATCCCTCACTTCAACTTCAAGCTGGGGCTCCGCCCCGGAGCCGCCGCCTCAGCCTATCCGGTGTCGCCTCTGTCCCCTCTGACCCTTCCCATTGGTCGCGGGAGGTAGCAATAAGAAAAGACTCAGCCAGGGTGCGAACCACAGCTGGAATAAACCAGTGACTGGAGCGGCTCTTGGGTACCCTCCTTTCCTTGCTATCTGGTGTTTGCATGGGGAGTGGGGAGCCAATGGGGGCAAGAGGGCAAGGCAACCCTGCTCCCGGATTGGCTTCTACGGAGAAGAGGAGCGAAGCTAGCTTCCAAGGAGCCCTCCGCGTCAGGATTTCCTCGTAAGGGGGCTTGTGCTTCCCTTCCGCTGGTGCAAATTGGGGACACTCCGCTCGTGCCAAATCGGGGTTGGGGGTGGGCTTGGTTGGCAGAGAGTCCCCAGCTGGGCAGAGAAACGAGGGCAGCCGAGCTTTCGCGGCTTGCCAGAGGATGGAGCCAGTCCATCGGAAGGGAGAGAGTGAGTGTTCGAGGCAGGCTCTGAGATGTACACGAAAGGAGCCGAAGGAACCCGGCGGCAGACAGAATGAGGAACCGTCCTGGAGTTCATACGGGCGAACCCAAGAGCAGAAAGCAGTCCGGCCAGCGATCGTGTAACCCCATGCTCTCTTGCAAGTCGCCGCGCTGGCACAGCCGGTGGAGAAGAGCGCGCATCTGGACTGGGCGGCCCTGATCAAGAAGACAAGGGAAGAACAAGGCGGCGGCGGCGGCGGACGATAGGGGGCGCGTGGAGAACTTGGGGAGAGGCTGCCACGAGCTCTCCGGCTTCTCTGCTTGCTGTAGCTGTGCCATACAGGATCTGCTTCAGATTCAAGAGAAGTCTGTGAGATGTTTGGCTGGGGAAGGGGGGAGGGGGAAGCGGGTCAGGACAAAACTGTTCAACACTTTTTCATTTCCAAAAATATGAGAAAGGTGTCTGGAAGTGAAATCCCAGGCATAGAGCATGTCATGACCCCAGAGGGGTCTTTGGGTTCCGCCGCCACCACCACCCTGGACTTTCGGGTCCCTTGGGAGTCCCAGGGTATCTCCCAAGCCTTGCTGTCCAAGCACTATGGACGTGAATGACCCAGGCACCACCCAAAATACATGAAGCAGAACAGGGTTTATTGTTGGGGCAAGGTGCTTCAACTGGGGAACAGGGGGAGGGAAAACCAAAAGAAAATAAACTTAACTGGGGCCCCTGCCACACGGCAGGGGAAAAGCCTCTTAAGGTGCGGCTTTTAAAAGCCACGCCAACGTTGAGACGCCACGGCGGGATCCCACGGATCCCCTGGCTGCGGCGCCTTTTCTCCCCGGCGGGATCAAACGCCGGGGAGAAAACACAGGTCAGACGCCTAGCCGGCCGAACTGTGCATGTCAGAGCATGCGCAGTTCGGATCCAGGCTGGGGTTGTGCCGGCGCAAGGACGCGCCGGCGATCAAACGCCCCGCTTGCCGCGCCGCATCCATTTAACCACCTAAGGTAGGTGGTTCAGTTTGCGGCGGATTTGTGCGGGGAAGGGACAGTTCAGGCACGGAAGCAAGACGCTTCCCAGATGTTGTGGTGTGATCGCGCCGGTTTGATCCGGCCCCGAACTGTCCCGCTCCCGGCCCAAATCGCCTAGTGTGAACGGGACCTCAGATGCCTTAATGTGGGTCGACTACCAGGCCCTAGCCTGCCTACTCTCTCTGGATTTTGCCCTTCTCCCAGCCCGGCCTGTCCCTCAGAGAGTCTTTTTCCACCATCAACCCTCAGCCAGCAACTCCTTAAACTGTCCTCTCTCAGACTTCATTCCCAACCGACTTCAACGGTCTCTTTAGAATCTTGTCTCACTCTCCCAATGCCTTCTGGGAGTTGTAGGCCTAGCCACGTCCTACTGCCACCCAGGCCTCTTAGGCTGGCTAGGCCGTACTGGCACAGGCCAGATCATGACAGAGCATTTTTTCTGTAGTGAGGGAAAGCACTTCTTCTTTTTTGCTGCTTTCCCATTTCTGGAGTTAGCCTTGGCCTTGGAAACACTTTCCAGCAGAGCTGAGCTTGGTGACCTTGTTTGAAATGAAGCCCTGCAAGTCTTCCATCTTTCGAACAGATACCTGGTCAACATTTCTTGCAAGCCTGGAACAAATCCATTTCAACCTAAGAATGAATGAACACTGCAATAAATATTCACACACACACACACACACACACCCTGACCCTCAACCCTTTGTGTGGCTTCTCCTGTACTGTCTACTAAGCCCAGCAACAAGCAGTGCTTGAAAGTGTAGGCCTTCCTTAGTGCCATAGCCAGGTATGTGGGCTGTTCTGCTACTGGCCAGGCATGATCCAAAATCTGATGGTCCCTGCTAGTCCAAACAGCAAAGTGAGGACTAGCAGACGGGGGAATCCAGAAGAGTGAATGCTGTGTGAAATCCCTACACTGGCTAATCTCCCTCTTTCACACATACCCTGAACTATTGGGAGAACTTGCCCTGGCACACATAAGATGAAAAATACACATTAGTGGTACATGCTGTGATGAACTGACCTCCAAAAGTGGAATGCTTAGTGCATCAAATTCAGAAAGTTGAGAGATTAGGAATGAATGCCTTACTGTAGTGCGTAGTTTGATTGACACGCTGCTGCCTGCATGCACCCTTTTCTCTCTGGTCAGCGGCAGCTGTGGAGAGCTTTCAAAAGTCTTGTCATTCTTGTCAGAGGGGGTCAGTCATCATTTGGAATTTGGCTTGGCAATAGTAAGTCAGGAGGAGTGTGTGTGTCCATCTGAGGGAAACAGACAAGTAACTTGTGAAGTGAAGGGACACAACTTCTTGCCCTTACTGTGTACCAACATATTTGAGGAAAGCTTCATAAACTGGAACTTAAAAATCTAAGTGTCAGCCCTAGCTGATTTCTGTTTATTCACAGACTCCCGAACTAGGTTTTAGCTTTGACAGAAGAGATTGGAAAGGAGGTTGAAAACTGCCAGTCTAGTCAAACAGAAAAAGGATTATTGCTCCTAGAAAGAGGAAGATATTTCTTACCCAGTTATTCAGAGGATACAACTCAGAACGGACCCCTGGTTTGTGTGAAAAGAGAAACGATCTTAGACTCCTCAGGAGTATAAAAGGGAAAGTTATAATCCTACAAGAGAAGTATTTAAATACAGGAAGACAGTACTAACTTCCAGGAAACCAAAATAGTTTTATGAAACTATTAAACCACATTGTTGCTTAAAGAAATATATAAAAAACCAAACCTCTCACAGTTAAAAACTGAGTTTCTAAGAATATATGCTTCAACTATACTCTGCTGCCTGTTTAAAATATAATTTGTATAAACAACCAAATTTACCTCAACTTCTCATCCCCTGCCCTATTCCTTACTCAACTGTGCCTGTTCAATAAAATCAACCTTTTGAACTTTACTTTGAGTCAAGTGCCATTTCAAAAAAGGATTTATAGAGGGCTCCTGCTGAGTTACAAAAAACCCCTCTGGCCTGGGCAAAAGCCAAATTACTTCTCTATCACAAGGTGGGACACGCAGAAACTTATAATTCTATAATTCAAATGCACTACTAAGAGGCTTCTCAGTCAGAGCGGGGAACAGTGTTTTGGCAGGAAAACGTGCCTCACAGAGAAAAAGAGGCAGGGGGCCATCATATATTAGTTACACCTTTATGTAGAAGTACAAAAGTGACTGGTATTAAGAAAAGGGCAAGGATGAAAGGCCATGCAGAGAGAGCCTAAGCACTATCCAATGCACCCTTGAGCGATACCTTCTTCTCCCACTTCTCCTGCCTGCTTTTCTTGCCGTAAGCTCCTTTTTTTTTCCTGGTTCAGTCTTCCAATACAGCAGCAAAAGGGGCTGGATAAGAAAACAGCTGAACTAAGCAAAGAAGTGAGGGCAAGGAGGGAATGCCACTTAAGGGTAACAAAAGACAGGCACATGGCTCAAGGAAAGAAAATGGATAAGGTAAAAAGAAAAATAGCCCGAGGATATAAGAATCAAGTGGAAAATAAGAAGCAGGTCACCCAGCTGGTGGGTTTCTGATGTCTGGATTGACAGGCAAGAGGCAGAGCAAAAGAAGTGTGGAATCAGCACTATCAGCAAAACAGAGAAGGGATTTAACCACAGGCATTCTGTGAAAGCTGTCTAGGAAATGAAGTCTCAGGGATGCGGTTGGGGAGCAAAGAAAGGGAGATATAAAGAGCTCGAAGAGGAGCAGCTTG